TAAGTGGCCCTACATGTATAAAAAAAGCTATGAATGAGGCTGTGAATGTGGTTACTGCCTCAGGTCCCTGCCTGGCCTTCCCTACATGGTAGGTTGTAACATGGAAGTATACGCCAAATAAACCCTTTCCTCTTCAAGTTACTTTTGGTTAAAATGTTTTATCGCAGCAACAGAATGAAACTGGAGCAGAACATGGCTCCAAGAGAAGTGGGACATTGCTGTGTTGGATATGACCATCTTACTTTATGGAAAGATGGCATACATGTTTGGAACTTTAAGCTAGAAAAGATATTGAGTGGTCCAAGTGTCGTAGTGTATTCTACTGGAAGCTTGGAAGACAGTAATAGCAAGATAAAAGTGGACTGTGGAGTCCTGACTCGAAGTTGAAACAAGAACTTAAATAAAAACATAAATATGGAATGTTTGGGTGGCATTTTGAATTGGGAATCTCTGTTTGCTAATCAACTAGGATTGAAAAATCATCTGTGATTAATAAAAGATCACTTCCATTCAGTGAAAATTTCTGTGCTTTATTAGAACTTTTTTGGTCTTATTGATTTTTGAAATATTATTTTAATTACAATTTGTTCCCTTCCCTTTCTCCCTCAAAAGCCTCTCATGTATCACTCTGTGCCCTCCTTCAGATTAATGGCCTCTTTTTTCATCAATTTTTACTGCATTCATTTTATGTATATGTTGTATATACATCAGTATTCCCAACTATAACCTTTTCAAAGAGAAGTTTCCTTAATGAGGGCTGAAGACTAATCCTATCTATGGATATTAGGATAAATTTTTATAGATTGCTGTTAGGGATTATGCTGGTTTAGTATATTATTAGTTATAGACTATCTCTCTCCCAGTATCCATGACTTCACTAGTACTGAGTAGTTAGATAGGTTTCTAGGCCCAGGCATGGTACTCTTCTTGTTGAGTGGGTCTTAAGTCCAACTAGAGAGCCACTGTTTATTGCCAAGATATTTTTGTTACTGCACCTATAAGATTATTCTACCATGCTTGTCACTGATGTTGTTTCTTGGCTGATTTTATTTCAATTTGACACAATCTAAAGTCATCAAAGGTGGGGGTTCTCAATGGAGAAAATGCCTCCATAAGATCAGGCTGCAGGTAAACTTGTAGAGAATTTTTTAAATAAGTGATTTATGGGGGAGTGCCCAGTGCATTGTGGGCGAGGCCATACCTGGGCTCTTGGTCCTGGGTTCTATAAGAAAGCAGACTGAGCAAACAATAAGAAGAAAACCAGTGTCAGGCTGTGAAAGGATAGCTTAGTTCTTTGCTGGGCATGGGCCTTGAACCCTGACTCCAATGGGAACCGGCAGGTCTTCGGCCATGCACCCAAATCCAGGCTCCTGACCCTCAGTCTAGATCTCCATTTAACTTGCGCCTTGCAGTCACATTTGGCTATGCAGCCCCTCCCAAAGGAGTGGGTGTCACCTAACACAATGAGAGGGCATGACTACAGGTTTCAGCCTTGAGAGATTTCCATATTAATGAGATACCTAAAGGCCAGAGGGCATAGCTAATTAAGTGGCCCTCCTCTATTCCCCCTCCCTATTTAAGCCAGCTGCCCCCTGGCTTAAACGGGGGGTGTGTGGGGGGGTGTGCATTCAGACCATCTATCATCCAACATGCTAATAAAGCTCTTTGAACCCCGGACTCCACGTGTCTTTTGGGGCCCTTCTCTGGGTTCCAACCACAGGGACCCACAAACCAGTAAGCAGAACTCCTCTATGGCTTCTGCATCAGCTCCTACCTCCAGGTTTCTGCCCTGTGTGACTTCCTCTCCTGACGTCCTTCAATGATGAACAATGATGTGAAAGTGTAAGACAAATAAATCCTTTCCTCCCCAGCTTGCCTTTTGGTCATAGTGTTTCATCAACATTATTTCTAGCAATAGAAACCTTAACCAGGACATATGTTGGTATCTGGAGTAACAGACCTAGCCATGTTGCTTGAGGGAGGATGGTGAAAAGATTTTGGAACTTTGTGCTATAAAAGCTATTAAATGTTCAAATCTTGGTAAGATGTTGTGTATGAGTCTGGAAGATAAAACTGTTAAGGGCTTTAGAAGTTTCAAAGGAAAATTTATGGACTTTATCAGGCTATTTGTTATTTCAAACTGAGATGCTGTGGTTCTGGTTAGCTAGGGCTGAAGAATCAGCTGTGATTAAAAAGATACTAGAACAGCTAATGTTAAACTTTTGTTTTTCTGGGATACTCAATGCTGGTTGGCTCACGCTGAGAAACTGGTGATTAGGAAGAGACCAGTATCATTAAGGTGAAATCTTCTAAAAAGTGTTTTTAGAGGGTCAACACACAGAAGCTGTGCTCCAGATATGGCTAAGGTTTTACCTCCTGCTGCAGCTGAACTTGGTATTATAAGAGTCACCCAGGTGGTACTGGTTTTGAAAGCACTGGGGGTTGTAGAGAGCAGCTGAGGCCTGTCACTGTGAGAAGGCAGGGGAGGTCATTGGTGAAGATGCAGCCTCAGTGGCAGTTGGTGACCCCGGACTTAGGGGTCATGAAGGAATGTTAAGGGTTGGCACCATGAAGAGAGCCTAGGATAGTACACCATGAAGTAAAGCCCAATTACAGCTGAAGACACTAGCATTTTGGAGCTATCAGTACCATGGGACAACCACCAAGAACAGCAGCAGTAATGGAGTGAGTGGAGCCTGCCAGAGCTTAGAATTCAGACAAGCTGTGTGTGCTGCAGAGGACAGAGCCAAATAAGTAACCTAAGCTCTTTAGAGAAACCCACAAGATCATGAATGAATCCCAGACATTGCACATTGAGTTATTTTTATAGCTTGACTTCCATTTTGCTTTGTTCAGACTATGACTGTGCCCTGATTCTTCCCTCTTGAAATGAGAAGTTATTTCATTTAATTTTGTTTTTTACAGGAGCCTACAGAGGAATGACTTTGCACTTTTAAAGGAGATTGTGGGAGACTATATAAAGAGACTGGAGTTTTAATGTGTTTGAATTTGTAAGAATTGGGGAACTTTTAACATTTCTATTTTATATTGTAATATGAATATTAACATGCCATCTTGGGAATAAATGAGAAAGGAAAAAGTTCTGAGAAGCGATATGTTTGTGTGTCAGGTGAAACAAGATGTCAGTTTTACTAATTTTATGTCAACAAAACAAGCCAAAATCATGAGAGAGTAGGGAGTCTCAATTGAGAAAATTACCCCATAAGATCAGGCTGTAGTCAAGCCTTTAGATCACTTTCTTAATTAAGGATTGATGTGAAAGTGTTGAGCCCATTGTCGGTGGAGGCACCCCTGACTTGATTCCTAGGTGTTGTAGCTGGATGGGACTGTTAGTTGCCTCTCTTCTTTGGAAGCCTGTATGGCAATTTCTGATGCCATGAAAGCTAGTCCTAAGGATGAGTAAATTAGGTCAGTTCCACCTAATGGGCCTCTGGAACCAGTTTCTGAAGTGTGTATTGTCTTCAGCAATAGAAACTTACCTTCTTCTTAACCAAGGACAACAGCATTAGGCTACATTTTGTTGAGGCAGCCCTAACCAAGGATTCAAAGATGGCTTCCCATAACTGGTATTGGGGTTTTTGTTGGGTAGTCTTTGACTCTTTGAGGAAGCACTATCAGCTCAGATGAGAACAGTTCATTAGAACTATGTGTGTATATTTATATACTTAAGTACCTGTGTTATAGGGATTTTTAGGTAAATAATTAATAGTATGATTTCTTCTATCTTTTTCAGTCATCTATGTTGTTTTATCTTCTCTTCTCTTCTTCTATTTACCTCCCTTTCCTAATGAGCCTGCACTTTACCAGATCACTTGTATCCTGCTATTTCCTTTTGCCCTCCTCCTTTCTTCTTCTGTATTTACCTCCCTCTCCATAAGAAGCCCCCTCCCATTTTCTCTATCATAGCGGTGTATCCTGTATCCTAACATCCTCTTTTCCTTCTTTCCACTTTCTTTTGTATTCCCTCCCATTCACTAAGGACTCCCCCCTTTCCCATGTCTGTAATCAGATTATTTATACATTGCTGTTCCCCTCTTTATTGCTCTGCAAGCCCCCTATCCTGGCTATGGTTCCCTTTTGCTTTCCTGGTTTCTAGAGTTACTACAGGCTATGTACTCACATCTGAACATTTCGAGCTAGGAGCTCTCCCTCCAATCATAGAACATGGGACATCTAAAGGATAATTTTTAAACACACAATTTTAACAGTTACAATAGGGTGAAACTACAAGTCGTTTTTGATTCATTGTTTACGAATTCTTTTAGGACTAAATTACAGTTTGAAATAAGAAATTTTAAACTCCCCTTAAATAAAACAATGATGGTTTATTGGAACTAGAATACCAGAAGCTAATGTGGGAACACTCATGTCTTCCAACAAAATGTCCAGTCTCAAAACTGCTATCATCCTTGTCAGGCTGTAAAGATTACTTAATATTTTTAACATTTTTACCCACATTGATATTAGGGTCCTATGGTTAGGTTGCTGTGGTCATAATCTGCTTGATGATGGACAGTTGTTCTCAAATTAGTCCTTAACACATGAAGATTTTGACTTTTGATTGCTTCATCTTCTGGTACTCAGAAAACCATACATGTCTTTATATATTTGTATATATAAAGTCCCTTTTCTTCCCTAAGCTCTTCAGTTGTCTTTGGAGCTTGAGTATGTTCACACTGGACTTGCTGGTTTGAGTGGTTTGTCTAACTCTTCGGTACCACATGAGCATGTTGATGGATGGTAGTTTAACTTTTAAACGTCCATTCAGCTTTCAAGCAGAAATGTTCTTCCTTGTTCTGTCTCTTTGGCCCCGCTTGTGAAGAGAAAGGAAGGAGGGGAACTTCTAGGCAATTATAGCTTGACAGAAGGGCAAAATATCTAATATGAGGTTACAGTTTGACTTATATGAACAGGAATTTGTAAGAACCAGTACATACCATAAAATATTGTGTGAAGTACTGGGATCAGATAGAAGCCCTTCACTGGGAGTGTTGCAAGGTAAAGGTGCACTTTTTGTATATCGCATACAGCAGAAGAATCGAGCGTAGCATTTGTTTGCACATGGCCATTGTCATCTCAATCTGTGGCTCCTTGAGTCCAGTGGGCCACTGTTGGTCTTTGCTGACAATCTTGCTGAAGGCTGAGTTTTCAGAAACTCTGAAGATTCCAGTCCACTTGGGTGGCTGGATGGTAATAACCCTGCCAAAGACTGAATCCAATCCAACAAGACGGATGGGCTGGGGCTTCCTAATCTTCCTGGCTATTACTCCTTTCTGGGGCCCAGGTGGATGGCCAGATGACTGTGAGCTCTTTACAGCTTCCACCCTTGGGCTCTCCACGACTATAGCAACTTCATTAAAGCACTGATGTACTTGAAGATCAGAAGGGCTCTTTGGGAAGAAAGGTGAAATCCTAAAAGGATGTTTGGAGGCAAAGGTAGGTGTTGTGTGCCGCAGCCATTGCAGATTCTCATCTAGGGGGGTCCATGGTGACCAGAGCTGATATCCTGCCATTGGTAGTCTGACTGCAGTCCCCCACGCAATACAGACTCTAGAGTAGCAGCTGAGGCTTTTCTCTACCTGGCGCTTAGCAACAGCCTTTGTGACCTAAGGCCACTAGAACCTAACCCACAGGAGGGCTGGAGGCTAGAGGTACCCCTCTGTGAGGTGTCAGAGCCTGCCTACTGCCCAGTCCTCAGAAAGCCAGATATGGGACTCTGGAGGCCAAGACAATTTTTTGTTCTATAATCACATTATGAGTGAAGGATGATAGTTTAGAATTATTTTGTTATGTAATAAAAGCAAATAGGAAATAAGATGTTATAGTTATACCAATAAACATATAAAACCATCAGTAAGTCACCTGTAACAATATCTTAAATAAAATAACAAGTAATGAGCAAATCTAAAAGGACATTTTCACCATCTCTTGTTCTTCATCTATCTTCTTTGTGGTTCTCTTCTCATTGGATGCTTCCATTCAGAAAAACTGCAGTTGTGATGTTGAAATATGTTATATTTATCTTGCTCTATATCAGTGTTTGGTTGTTTGGTTGGTTTTGATTGTTTCTTCAAGATAGAGTCTGTGTGCTGAGTTTGTAACATACTGTTAGAGAACATGTCTAGCATGTATGGGGCTCTGAGTTCATTCTCCAATGCTGAGGAAAAAAATCAAAGGATAATCCCTTGATAAATGTGGTGATTTGAATAGGTGTAGCCCACATAGACTCAGGTGGTTGACTGCTTGGCCCATAGGGAGTGTCACTATTAAGAAATACAGCTTTATTGGAAGAAGTGTCTCACTGTGGGGGTGTCCTTTGAGGTCTCCTGTGTTCAAGCTATACACAGTCTTTTTTTTTTTTTACTACCTTTGGATTAAGATATAGAACTCTCAGCTCCTTCTTCAGCACCATGCCTGCCTGTACTCTGCCATGTTTCCTGTAGTGACAATAATGGACTAAAAGTCTTAAACTATAAGTCAATGCCATGTTTTCTTTCATAAGAGTTGCTGTGGTCATGGTGTTTCTTCACAGCAAAACAAAACAAAACAAACACCCTAACTAAGATACTAAGTAGCCCAGGCTAGTCTTAAACTTTCTATGTATCCCAGACTGGCCTTGAATTTGCTTTGTATCCCTAGGTACCCTGGTATACACACTATGTAACTCAAGTTAGCCCCAAACATATGGTCATCCTGCCTCAGTTCCCCAAGTGTGGGGACTACAGTTCCATACTACCATGTCTGTGCTTGTTCTCTGTTTTGTTTTGCTTTGATCTATCTTTGAAAATAGGCATTCACTAGTGTGAAACAATGTCATTGACATTGAAGAACACAACTCCATGTGGGTAGAAAAAATGGGGGGACATTTTCTCAGAGCCACAGGGATCTCTGTTCACATTTGGGATTCAAAGTGAAACAAAATCAGTGAGGATTTCAATAAGGGGAACAGTCAACTGTAGACTTCTAGTGAGAAACAGATGCCTAAGTTTTTAAGTATAAGCTATAGAAGGAATCTTGGGGCTTTGGAGTACATTATTTGAAGTAGTTAATCTTAAATAAAATTGAGGGGGGGAGAACAAAAATATCTTGGTGTACTCACTTCCTTATGAAACAAAGTTTTATGAATTAAATTATAAGATTATTTATGAAAGCACTTGGCAGCCATGAGAAAGAAACCCAATTAAGACAGAAATATAAAAAAATAAAAATACCAGTGTAAGTTTGCTATATAGAGACCACACAAAGCTATTAAAATAGATATTTAGAAAAGATAATAAGTATGGTTCACTGGCTATCTTAATAATGGTACCTGTGATATTTCAGGAAAAAGTGTGATTTCTGTGTACAGTGTCCATGTAGGCAAATCTCCTGTCAACTACGCTGAAGTACTTGACATAGTAAGAAAAATACTGGAGACATAAACATTAGGTTAGATCTGAGAAGGATGATGGCAAGGGAGGAAGAACTCTTTCTCTTTCTTGTACCCCTCAAATCTTTTCCTATATTTAAATACTGCTTCAGCAACACACAACTCACTACAAGTTAAAATTATCATCGCAAGTGATATTTTTGATCAATAAATCCATTTTTAATCAGGATTTTAGTGCTCATTTGCCAGGAAGCTCGCTAAGGTCTTCAGAAAGTGTTTTGTGTCACTTGCTGTATACAGCTGTATTAGTTATGTTTTTATTGCTATGATAAAATGCTATGACCAAGTCAACTCATAAAAGAAAGCATTTCATTGGACTTAACGTTTCAGCAGGTAAGAGTCTATGATGGCAGAGCAAAAGCATGGTAGCATGGACATTAGAGAGCTCACATCTAGAATTGCAAGCAGGAGGCAAAGAGAAGTAGCTTGAAATGGTGAAATAGTACAAGTCTTTTGAAACCTCAAAACCTTCCCTGTGACATACTCCTCCAACAAGGCCACATCTCCTAATTCTTCCTAAATAATTCCACCAACTAGAGTCCAAGTATTGAAACAATAAGCATCCAGGGGACAGTCTCATTCAAATTACTACAACAGAATACATTCAGGTCAGAATATATTGTTATACCATTAGTAACTTATAATCCTATGAGTCTTTTTTTTTATTAAGCACATTGGCTAAATATAAAAAGTATCAGAGAAGAGCCAAGTTAATCACACAAACTCCCATATCTTTCAACCAAAGTTAGTTTTAATGTATCTTATAAAACTAAATATAAATAAAATAAACAATCCAGAAAGTTCAAAACATTATAGTATATAATTTAAGGTATAGTTCTACCACCACAAATAATAATGAATTTGACATGAACAAAATAATTCCTCTATATTATCTCATATGTATGTATGAATATTTTTATTCAAAACCATGGAGTGGCTCCAAGTTAGTTTGTGGTATAGGAAATTTTCAGTTTATTCATTTCCTTTTTTAATTTATTTTTATAGGATATTTTATTTACATTTCAGATGTTCTCCCCTTACACCATTCCTCCCTCCCGCCCAGGAACCCCCTATCCCATCCCCCATCCTGCTTCTATATTCATTTCCTTTTGAATGTTTAGTCATTTTCATCTATGAAATAAATGTATACTAGACAGAAAACAGTAAGAGTATACAAATTATATTACACCTCTAAGTCATGCAAGTACTAAATTCTCAAAGGTCAAAATAATTGTTCTACTTTTTCTTGTGGTACTCAGAGCCATATCCAGGGCCTCAACTTCCCAGGGAAGAGCTCTGTACTGAGCCATACACTCAGATCAAGTTGACTATCATGTAGACCTTGTTCTTCTGGGATAAAGAAAAGTAACATAGCTTGTAAGTAGCATCTACCTGTGGCCACCTCCATCTGAATAGATGTCAAACTCCCAATCTCTTCTTCCTGTGGGAAGTTTCACTTAGGCAGGAAATGAGGAAAGTAGAGAAGAAAAGCTCACATCTACATTCACTGGTGGTTTTTTTTTAACTAATGTAGAGATAGATGCACATTTATTTTTACAAAAGCACAACTTTTAGAATCATCCCAAATCTGCAGATATCTATACCTTTTTTGAATCAACACTAAATATGCCAAAGAAACACATTTGTAGTAAAATAGTTTACCTTCTCACAGATGATACAGTCCAAATTCTTTTATATTTCCACTTTCTGGCCCCCAGTGTCTTTTCTAAATGTCTCTTTTAGTTGTCTATGGAGAATCCTACTCAGACTGGTAAACTGTCTAGCCATTTACACAGATGTTGTGAACATCTATATACTATGACATGGTTGGAGACTAGAGGGTCATGTAAGCTGGGCAGAAGAAGGATTGAGCAAGGAATGGCTACTAAAAGAAGCAGCCGAGTATACATACTGATACTCTGCAAAAAATCCTTTCTGACTGTGGCCTTAATTAGATTAGAGTTAAGAAGCCTATTGCCAGATAATCCTTCCCATTGACTAGGTCTATCAGTGTCCTTTCCAGACTTGTAGAACTTGATGGTATAATTATTAATCATCATCACCTACCTAATTGGCTTTATAATAACTAAGGAAATATGCCTCTGTGAATTTCTGTAAATGAGTGTCTAGATTAAGTTAACTAAGGTGGAAAGCTCTACCCTGAATTTGGGTGGAACCATCTCATGGCCTGGGGTACTAACTTGAATAAAAAAGAGACAGTGAGCTGAGCAACAGTGGCCATTACTCTCTGCTTCCTGATTGAGAATGTGATTAATGCACCAAGCTTGATGCAGGAGCGTAATCCTATTCCTGCTGATGGGCCTTTCCTGCCAGAAAGGTATGTGCCTTCAAATAGTGAAGCAAAATATTCCTTCTCATTTTGTCACAGCAGTGAGAGAAGTAACTAGTAGATTCATCTTGTTAAATATATGATAGAATAGAAAAGATAATAAGGGAAATACATGTGCATGTTCACTATTTATGATGAGAACATTTACAGGAAAACTCCCTCAAGACAGGTAAATACTATAAGCATGAGTCATAAGATGATAATTTCTAATCTGTTGCTACAATGCCTCTGTTTTGGTCCATAATCTTCTTGCTTTATACTCTTTAATTTTCTCTCCATGGCTTAATGAACCTCATTTGTACAGCATCACGAGTAAGATCACAGAAAGTGTGATAAATTTTCAAATTGGTGAAAACTTTTATCAAGTTTATTTCCTAAGTAAGCTATGACTCTTGAAGGCATTTGGAATTTCTTGTGGAGTAGATATACTTCTGTGTGTGTGTGTGTGTGTGTGTGTGTGTGTGTGTGTGTGTGTGTGTTTTGACAATACTCATTGACAGGCTAGTTTGTTTGTCTTATAGTATAGTATACATTTTACTGCTTACTTGAGAAAATCTCATATCAAAACATGGAGAAATAAATTCTTAAGTTTATTTCTGACAGGAGAGACCTTATATTTAAGTAGCTGAAAATAAAAATTAAACCTTCTGCTTATAATTTTATACATTTGGATACTTAGAAGTGTTTTCCCCCACAGGCTAACTTCTGACCTCAGACATTTCTAGTTGTATTTC